TAAGCAGCTTATTAAAAGATACTGGGCTAGAGATACAGCAGCTGCAGCTTTTTCTTTGCTGTCCTCCTGAGAAATCTGTGGATAATATGTTGCAGAGGAAAAACATTTTGCTTACTGCTTTTAAAAACAGGCTTAACTATGGGAAACCAAGAGGCAGGGCAGAGAGAGATAAAACACTGCTGCTGACGGCAGGCAATTCAGCTTAGGCGCTGAACAGACCTGGGTTGGCATCTTTATCACCTTATTTAACATAACATGTGACATTTGGTGGAAGCTTTTATTCACACAAGCTTAATACATCATCCGGGCGTTTTCAGTATTAGAATTGCACCATTTGGAATAAAATCACTGCCTTTACTCAATCTACTGAGCTAAGCAGGGCAGAGAACCTTAGCCACGTTTTGTAATACATGTATAAATAAATTAGACCCAACACAATATCTGGTCAATGCAAAACACTATCAGGTATCAATGACACACAAAATGAAACCTCAGAAAAACAAGTTGTAGAGACTGTCCTTAGTTTTCAAGCACTCCTGAATGCTTCTTAAATGCATACACTTTTGTGATATCCAACAGCCTTCCGATTGGCCCAAGAAGCATGAAGTGAATAGAGCCCTATTCATGCTTGCCGCATCTGTGGCCAAGTTTTAAGGACTTTAGATGTTTGATTATTATCCATCATGCAATACCATAGGGGGAAGCATCTGATCTACATACAGAACAGGCTCTGTAAGAAGTGAAATTCATACAATTCTGTTTGGAATTATTCTCACTTTACTTTTGCACAGTACATTTCCTCAGCCACCCATGTTTGTGGCGGTCTACGCGGATGTCTGTACAGGGACAGTCTGGACTACAAGGAGGCAATCTGTGCAAGCACTAAAAACCGTGATACTCATCCTCATCAGTACTTCTTATCATGTGCCAATGTACTGCATTCCCCACACTTGGGCCTATTCTTGAAACAAGTTAAAGCATTTAAGATGCATAACTAGTTTCAGTTCCATCTACAAGAAACCACTGTTTTTGATCAGTAAAGTAATTAGTACATTATTGGACTTTCAGAGTGAGTCTAACCCACTGATACATGCAGTATTACATATGTTTATGTCATTTTTCATGGTACTAGGAGATGTGAAGGTTGTACAAGATACTAAGACAACTTTTTTTTCCAACAGCCCTTTTGGTGTACAATGAATAGGATATTGTTACTTTACCACAAACAGGCATTTTATCACTTCCTGCCTCACATGTCACTGGCTCACAGTTTGGCTCTGAGCTGGGCAAAGCTAACCATGTGGTTTCAAAGATAGTAGCACAAGCAGACAAGGTTTCTTATCACCAGGTTATCACAAAGTCATACTCTCCTCATCTC